AGCCACCCCGTCAGTGTCCCCATGTCCCCCCCATATCCCCCCCCGGGATGTCCCCACGTTGTCCCCAGGTTCATGGGGTTGGTGGCAGCCCCAGGGGTGTCCCCAACGCATCCCCATGGTGTCCCCACGTCCCCAAGTTCTGTTCATTGGGATGGTGGACACCCCAGAGATGTCCCCATCGTGTCCCCACATCCCCACGTTCTGTTCATTGTGTGGTGGCCACCCCAGGGGTGTCCCCAGCGCATCCACATGGTGTCCCCACATCCCCATGTTCTGTTCATTGTGTGGTGGCCACCCCAGGGGTGTCCCCAGCGCATCCACATGGTGTCCCCACATCCCCATGTTCTTTCTGTTCATCGGTGTGGTGGCCACCCCAGAGGTGTCCCCCTGGTGTCCCCACATCCCCATGTTCTGTTTATTGGTATGGTGGCCACCCCAAGGGTGTCCCCAATGCACCCCCATGGTGTCCCCACATCCCCAGGTGCTGTTCACAGGGGTGGTGGCCTCCCCGGGCATGGAGGTGGCCCTGAAGACACTGGGGGGGTCCATGGCCACCTCTGTCTTCGACTGCACCCATCTGGTGACCGACCGTGTCCGACGCACCGTCAAGTTCCTCTGCGCGGTGGCCCGTGGCATCCCCATCGTCACCCCCGAGTGGCTCCACAAGGTCCCACGGGGGGGGGGGACAGGGGAGGGGGAGCCCTGGGGACAAGGAGAGGGTCCCTGAGGACAGGGGATGGGGGCCTTAGGGATGAGGAGAGGGTCATTGGGGACAGGATCTCGGGGTCATGGGGGTCCTTGGGGACAGGGCATGGGGTTTCTGGGGGCAAGGAGAGGGTTCTTGGGGACACAGGGGTTGTTGGGGACAAGGGGAGGGTCTTTGGGGACATTAAAGCCCTTGAGGACATGGGACAAAGGCCTTGGGGACAGGGATGGGGGTCTTTGGGGACAAGGTTCATCCTTGGGTGTTTCTTAGGGACATGGGGAGGGGTCCTTGGGGACGAGGGGGTCATTGGGGACAGGGAGGTCCTTAGGGACAAGGGAAGTGGGTCCTTGGGGACATGGGATGAAGATCTTTGGGGACAAGAGAGTCCAGGAGGGACATGGGGGGCACTGGGGACAGGGGGTCTTTGGGGACATGGGATGGCATCTTTGGGGAGGTGGACAACCTTGGGGACAAAGAAGGGGTCCTTGAGGACAGAGGGTGGGCTCCTTGGAGACATGGTGGTCCTTGGGGACATGGGAGGGTGTCTTTGGGGGTGGGGGCGTGCTTGGGGACAAAGAAGGGGTCCTTGGGGACAGAGGGTGGGCTCCTTGGGGACGTGGGGGTTGTAGGGGACAAGGGACAGGAGTGTTTGGGGACAAAGGGGGACGTTAGGGGCATGGAG